CCAAGAGAGAGAGGAAGTGGCCAGAGACAACTATTTATAAATAACAACATGTAAGGGACATCACTCAAGATAACAATATAAATATAATACCAATACAATTATCTCAATCTATTACACTGTTAAAATAGTATATGAAGCTCTGTTGTACAGATGTAAATCTCCTTTATTCCCCAGAAATCTTGCTATCCCTTACAGAAACATTGGCGAAAAACAAAGCGTGATGATCTTCATTAGAAGTAAAAAAATACATGCATATGATCTGAACAGTCGATCTTGTATACAACTAAATTTGGGTTTGAGAGACGATTGTCTTGATTTAGCAGCCACTGAATCCACCATTTGCTATATTTATTCATCACCTCAAACTAGACCCTGTAATTACTACAAGAACCAGTGTAGATACAAATATATTGCAACCCTTGGCGGTAATATGGAAAAAAATGACATTGTTGATGGATGCGAGTGCACTAAAATGCATCTAGTTTCTGTAAATGGGATTTTCGTCAATGTTTGTGATTTACTATCAAAAAAGAAAAACTTAAATATTTTAAATTTCGTCGAGTTTCAATATAAAAATGCTTATAGATCTGCATGTGTTTTACGAGATCATATTTTGCTGTTTTCTGATTATACAGTACACTGTTACAACATTTACACCAAATCAACTAACGACATTGACTTTAAAGGCCCAGCTGATCACATAGTCACCTTCCACAAAGGTAGCAAAATGTTTCTTCTACAAAAAGATGGTGCTTTAAGCGGTGTAAAAATGACGGAAGATTCTGAAATACGATTCAAGTTCGTATCTCAACTTTGGGAAGGTTTTGAATGGATCCTTAATGGAGCTGTCTATTACAAAAACGAGTTGCTTTTGTTTTGCACACAAAAACTTGAAAATGTAGATAAAAGCTTGTTAAAGTCAATACCTGGAATTTTTGAGAGAATTAGTGTTGTTGAGATAGAAAGCCAGTCAAAACTAGTTCCATTTGCAATGCCAAGATGCTGGAGATATTGTCATGATTATGATTAATCATAGATCAGTAAACTCACATATAGCATTATAACGACTAATTTGTGAATGGTATTTACTTAGCCCCAAGAAGCAACGGTGGCTGGACATTATGCAGACGACACTATCCCACAATGACTCATTTTTTTCCCATGTGGAATCAGTGTTTCTTCCAGACTTTTCCCGAAGAGATGCCTGGAAGAAACTCTGCGTGGAATTCTTACTCCTCGTAAACCAAGGTCATTGAAACATATGACCTCCATTCATCTGCCCCATGTGTCGTGGGCACGAACTGGAAAGTTTATGATTTACGTCCACTTATCTGGAAATGTTTATTTTTTAAAATAATAGACATTAGTTTTCTTTTATTTTTGTTTGAAAGTATTAAGTAGACTGTTTTATTATTTTTATCCAGCAATATATTTTGTAGGTTTACAAAGCACACAAACCCCCAGAAGTCACCATAGCCCCACATTTTTCTCTCACTTGCACATTTATATTAATTTATAACCAAGTTTAAAATAACCAGGAGTGATCTACCCTAAATTTTTTGGAATATTCTTATATAACACTACGGGGAATGTCAACTAGGGATATAGGCAGATTTTTATTTCCATTTTTACTTTCTCGTATACAGAGTATAGAGGAAGTATTGTAATCGTGCACAAAAATCATATGCAATTTTGACAGTTTTCATCATTTTACACCTCAGTACTTCATCAGATACGGGGTATAAGGAACTTATTTTAATCGGGCAAAAATAATAAATGCAGATTTATCAGTTTTGGTGTTCTATGCGTAATCGAGTTGCAAAAACTGAGCTTTGCACTTCTGTCCGTATGTCTGTGAACACGATAACTTGAGTACCGTTACAGCTAGGTTGATGAAATATCATATATAAAATTTGTAGTTCCGTTTAAACTTTTCAGCAATTTCCGATAACCGGAAGTGGGGCTTATTCTACTTTTCGTTTTTCAAAAGCCTATAACTTGAGTACTGTTTCAGCTAGATAAACGAATTTTATATATATATTTAAAAGATCTAATTCTCTGCCTTCTGTCAAATTTTCAGTGATTTCCATTGGACTCAGTGTCAAAAAACTTTGAGACAAAGAGCTACATTTCTACTTTAACTCTCTCACTTAATTTGAGACACAATATAATTTATAATTTTAAAAGTAAGAATCTTTATCTAAAACTCTAAGTGGATTGACATACCGCAATCACATCAATGTAATGCCTATTGTTATAAACTTATCTAAACACCTAAGCCTAAAACACATAATGTGGAATGGTGTAACATGTAGCTCCCTGAAGCTGATACAACATACATAATCCTAAGCTTATTCTAAATAGTAAAAAACAATAACTACATTTTAACATGAAACAATCAAGCAATAAACCAAGAACACTGGTGAATGTTTATTGTCCATAATTTCTGTACACACCCAAGTCTATTATATATATAAAAAAAATCAAACCAGATATTTAAAAACATGAACTTGTGTTAATAGGATAAATGCATCTCCATTTTCTTTGTTTATTTAGGGGGCGATGCTTAGTTTTTATTTATATGTACCTATGAATTAGAAAAATATTCATATTATGTAGTCAAATATTAATTGAAACCAAATATAAGTAAAAGGCTATTAAAAGTGTCTTATTATGCTTTGTTTTGTCATCTTTTGTTATACCATAACATCATAATTTGCAAGTTGTGAAGAAAATTATAGCGTTCCTGATACTAACTGAGAACTTTTCTGAACAAATTTAGTTTTATCTTGTCATATTTTTGGAAACATACAACAAGAGGTGTTTTGTTACTAAACGCACTACATTTAACAGCATTATCTGTCCAACATTATTTTAACTTAAAACATTTTCTGGTGACTTAATTCCCTTTAGTAAATTAATTCTAGGACTAGACATTCTCATTTTAATACATACACATGTTTATTACATTTTCATTCATTATTTTCTAAAAAAAAAAAATAAAAAAATTATTTTATGCTAATGTAAGTTGAGTGATGTTGGTCCCCAATTTCAATTTTAAAAATCTTTACTTGCATACACAGTACACAAGCTTCAAAGATGAGAACCTTCATTTCATCACATCCATCAATAAGCCTACCAAATGTTTTCTTATTGTGAAAATAAAAATACAATACACTAAAATGGTTCAATGGATCCAAATTCAAAAGTTTCATCAAACAAGTTTAACAAAAATTGTTTTTCTATTTGTTACAGCTATTGGCCACTTTGCATTTTGTGCTGCTTAATGTTGAAAACTTCAAAATTTTGAATCTCTAAAAAAAATGTTTTCAAAAGGTTGGTTGTATGTAATATGAAGGCATCACAGCAGCAACTAAAAAAAGTTTTTAAATTAAAAGGAAGATACAGAGGAAACAATACCCATTGTCATCCCAAAAGTTAAAAAATAATTTTTCCATTCCAAGTTTGTTACTACTGGATAAACAATCAGCTGATGATGATAAAATGTTTTTTAATTTGTCTTAAAAAACATTTTTTTAACATGTTATGTAAAAATTTTAAAACATGTTTATGGATTAATAATAGCATAACTATAACAAGATGTCTACTGCGTGGAAAGGAAATAATAAATTAAAAAAATATGAGCTTAAAAAATAAACAGAATGTGAAGTGAAACCAAGATATAATCCATCACCCTAAAATTTAAAACAATTCTATCAGGGTATAAAACATGCATCACTTAGAACCTTGTTATTTAGGGGGATGTTACATTTCAATGATGATTAAACATGTGCATTCAGATCTAATTGGTCATAAAAGTTATAGGCAAAACAGCAGAAAATATCAACAAAAAGAACTCAATGTATAATTATTAAAACATAAAATTAATATATCAAATATCGACTAATAACTTTGCAATCATATGGACAATTCTTTAAATTTAAATGTATTAGAGCAAATAATTTTTTTTTTGAAATATAGAAATTAAATGCTAATAAAACTATTTTTAAAATTAAAACTAACCTTCGAAATATTTTTTTAATGTTAAGACACTGGCAGGGCAGAAGTGAATTGTATAAAGCTTTTCTTCCTTGCGATTACACAGGTAGGGTTAGGATAATGGTTCAGATTGGGTCAAGATTAGGTTTATTACACCCTACCAAGGCTTTAATAAGTACTTAACATATCACAGAATGGAATGCTGGATTGTGAATGAAGGTGAATTTTTTGGGCCAATAGATTTTAATGAGAAAAGTTTTGGAGTTAGTCTTCACTTCTTTACTGAAGCAATTTAAATTTTCTATTTCTTTAAAGGAAAAAAAAAAACAGAGTAAACTTACCATAATGATGTAAATTTTTTTAATAAGAATGTGTCATGCAGGAAACAACAACACTAAATGCTATGGGTTTGAGCTTTTCATTAAACTATCAATAAAGAAAAACCCAGCAAAAGACAAAAGTTTTTATGTTGAACAAACTTAAGGAGGTAAAAAGATATCAAACCTTGAATTACCAAACAGACTTGATTATCTAGTTAAATCTCTTTATATCACACTCAATTTTGAGGGTCTTTCTGTTGACTGCCGTTTATGAGGAGAGGAATCTTAAATCTAGCTCAGTTTTTTCCAACCTTTACCTATTCATGTCAAGTAAAGGCACATTTAAAAAAAGATACAAAAATAATCTCCACAAAAATAAGAATATTAAGAACAAAAAGGGAGGATCTACTATAGAAAAAAATCATAGATAAGGTACAAGACACAATACAGATTTCCAGCTCAAAAGCATTTTCTCATTGTAGATGAAGTGACTCACACAATTAATTGATATTTCTAATCCTCAGAACAATCTATGAAATAAATATAAATTAATTAGATTTAAAAAATAAATATTTTTTTTTTAACATTAGCAAAATTATACCTCTAAGAAACTATATTAAACAATCAGTGTATTCTGTGTAATAGTATTACTAATACTAATAATACTGTTGCAACATTCAGCAACAACAAACACACCAGAATCATGGAGATTACACTTGACCAAACTACTGATGCAGAAACCATCTGATAAAATCTACAAGTCTCAGAAACAACAGCAGGTTGCCAGAGATTAAGCAAGCTAGAACTAAAGTCATTTTTTAAAGCCTGAGTCATTATTCTAAAATATTCACAAACTCTGTGTACTCCCAGTGCTGTTAAAAGAGGTGGCTTAATTAATCTTTTCTTTCGGTTGCAACCAATGTTCCCTCTAAGCTGCGCTGCAGCGCAGTAGTTTTGAGATGCTGCGCAGTGATTTTGTAAAATAAATACATCCTTGTATAAGACTTTTTGAACATCGCACACAGAAAATACATTTTGCACACTAGCTTTTCCCCACGAGAGGGAACATTGGTTGCAACAGAATTACAACTTGACAGGTGTCATGCTAATCACAAAAGTTGTGACAGTTGTCATGCTAATCACAACAGTTGTGACAGGTGTCACTCCAATCACAACAGTTGTGACAGGTCTCAGTCCAATCACAATAGTTGTGACAGATGTCTAAAAACAATCAAAATAATTGTGACAAAATTCTAAACCAATCACACAAGTTTTTAAGCAGTAAAAAACAAATCACATTAATACATACTTCAATAGTGAAGTATTTACAGTTTTGGCATACAGGAATACAATGAAAACAAGCCTGGCTTTAATGGGTCTAGTAATTAATTACACTTTTAAGTAACAAAACAAAATTATAATCAAACAAATGACAAAAAGAAACCAAAGTGAACATAGAATGTGTATCACAGTTGGGGTGATGGTCTACACTCTAGCTCAGCATAACTCATAAAACATGCTTAACATAAATATCATTTAATCACTACCAAAACATAACCTTCTGACCAGGAATCCAAATGATGCTGCTCTTATTGTTTGTTAGGAATTATAATTTTAAAAAAAAGACGTGTGAAAACATGTTTGAGTGTAGTATCTATATATTACAGTATCAGTGCTATACATCACTCTCAATTAGGAAGTGTTTACCAGATATAGGATTCAAATAACTCATTAAAGTTTACATAAAAACACTGGAAAAGATTATGAAGATAAAGCTCAACCCTCTTTGTATTACTAAATAATGGAAATTACTAATAATACATTTTTAAAGAGACATAAAGCATTCAAGCAAAGAATTTAAAACAAAGTAAATGAACTTATAAAACTAACAAAAAACAATTTTTTTTTAACTGGACAACAATGGAACCCCAACATTTCAACACATAAGCCCTAAGCTGTTGATAAAAATCTACCAATTCCCAATTTTAAAAATAGCATTTGGGGTTGCTGTTGTGCATAATTTATGTTTTCTTTCAAAAGTATGCAACATACATTACTTTCTTAAACTACTAAGCAAACACTGTCTATTGAACTAAAAAAGTGTAAGTGTAGAGGAATGTGTCATGAATACGAACAAAACAAACACAAGCTCATATAGATTAGCCAGTGATTTAATATACATTGGTCATGGTAAAGCTCTGTAACCAACAAACATACCCCAAGATGAAACTTTGGACAATGTCCAGTCGTCCAGATGTCTGGCACTGCGGCCTTTAAGTACAGAAAACTATTTCCTTTACTTAATTAACAATAAAATCATAACAAAAAAAAATTATTTAAAATAATAGCATCTAAAAAATAAAAACAAAATAATGTTTATCAGATCAGTGATTTTGGCAGTATCATGTTTTAAATTACATGGGATGAATAATTCAATTTACTGTAAACATGTTGATCAAATAACAGTAGGCGGTTATTCATTTGAATGCCCTTTTAAAACAATCTGATTCACTAGCTAAAACAAGGACCAAACAGAGAAAAAGTCTATTTGGTAGACTACTTATCCAGAAATATACACATTAATAAAGCAAACAGTCTGTTTAAAAAATATGTCTATAATAAAGCAAGCTTGAGCATCCATTGAAAACAAGTGTTAAAAAGGCCCATGCAAGCAACAAAACAGTGTGTGGTATTGTACTGAGGTAGCAACTACTGTGTTCAGTTCAAATACATCAGTTCAACCCCACCCTCCCCCAGTGTGCATGTATGGATACTGTTATAGGCAAGTGAAATTATTTGCATAGCTGCCTTTTGTTGTAACAAAATATCAAGCACTGTCTTCAGTATTTATGGCTTAAATTACTACATACAAAAAACAACCAATAACAGTTACTTATCATGAATCTACATACATTAAATGAAAAAGACCATAACAATAAAAAATCTTTACTCACAAATCAATTTCCAATACACCTAAATGACTTAAATTTATATTTATTCTACAAAATAAATGCCCTAGGAGCATATGAAAAAAAATTAATATTATGTTCTTTAACTAAGTGGGATGACACAAAAGCTTCACACTAACTTCCTCGATCAAACAATCAATACCAAACAGCCACATTAAAAAACTCAAATATTATTTACAATAAATAAATGTGTATCTACATTTCAAATAACAAAATAACACAAAAAATCCACATTCAAGATAAAATATTCATAATTTAAATAATTTAGAAAAACCACCATTATAATATTACATACCCACAGGATTGTGAACTCACATCAGTATAGATAAAAACTGTATTATTATAATACACATAAAATGAACTGTACAGATAAATCAACAATGATTTATCAAAGCATAAACAGAACATATACCAAAAATTCTTGAAATGAATATTAAGCTTATATTACATTGACGTAAATATCGTTCAGTGACTGGGATTCAAAAGAGGTAAATAAATTTATATCGTGATGAAATTACCCGTTGATTTCTAAATTCCTGTCAGTTTCATAGAAATACATCCACAGGCAAAGCTTTTATATCCAGTACTTCATGCGTGCAATTTTATCTTATATTTGTAACTCAGACTCCGCACGTGACTTCATACTCACAATACAACGCCACACTGGTCACTTAAGTCCCCCCTGGCGCCTGAGTGGCGAGGACAGCGAGATAAGTTAATTTGATCACACCTGCCGCACCAGGCCCTCATCAATGGCATCCTTTTTGTATTTCTCACGCAGCTCCAGCAGCTGCTGGTCATGTTCCTTGGCCTTGGTGTACAGCAGGACTCCCACGGTCACGATGATGGTGCCCAGACCACTCAGGAAAGTCACAGGGTTCCCAAAGAGAATCACAGACAACCAAATCAGAAACGCTCTCTTCACTGTGTTAGCCACACTGTGGACAGTTCATAATGAGAGTTTTGTAATTGATTTATACTTCTGTCATAGCTGATATATATATATATATATATATATATATATATATATATATATATATATGTATACACACATACATTTATATATATATATACACACATATTATACATATTTACAGACACATATAAGTAAATTGTAGCTATACACAAACACTTAACATTTTAAAATTTGCACTCGACGTATTAGTTATTTTAATTTGTAAACAAAAATCCTAATGGTATTGTGGGGGTGACAATAATGTGTATTGAAACTAACCCTTTATGCATCTTTCAACTGTGTTAAAGAGTTAACCCAGAATCAACCATATCAAACACAATCATAAAGACATCAATGGGTTTCAATAATCGTGTCCTTAAAGATACTTAGCTCAATGATAACAGGTCAGAAACAGTGCATATCTTTGTTTTACTTACCTGTGTGTAACAGGTGAAATATAATCCATGAGGACATAAGCCGTTATAGATTGGAAGTGGAAGAACACCCCGTTTAGCAGTAGAGAAGTTAACAAAGTAATGTCCAGCGTGCGATGGACTTTGTCCAGGTCCATCATAAAAAAACAGGCAGGAATCTGGACCACTATACTTGCTATGCTGGTGTAAAACTGTAATTCTGCTGGTCTAAAAAAAAAAGAAAAGAACAGAAATTTAAAACTTTCATTTTTACCTTAGTTCTAGTAGTATTTAACACAAATTTAATTAAATCTACTAGCTTTGCATGGACAATTTAGTGTGACATTGATGTGTTAAATTAAATAGTCTATGTACATGAATACAGTAAAATTTTAAGGTAAAATAGGGGTGAGGGGAAGGAAGAAGAGGGGAGAGTGAATAGAAAGATAAACATGACTGGTTTGACAACAATTTGTACAGAAGATCATATGGTTAAGCTAAAAACAAAAAGTTTGTTGTATTTGCAAAATACACAATTCTACAGCAATTTGGCATAAAAGAGAAATTTATATATGTAAGTTTAATAAGAAAGACCATATTTTAAAAATGTCATGTGCATATTAAAAGTATAAAGAAATAAACATTGTTAATACTTACGTATACCGATATTTTTCACCACTAATTAACAACTTGGAATAAACATTTTGCAAGCTGGGAAAAAAAATGTAATGAAATAACATAATAAAAGAAATCACAAGATAATAAATTCTAATTTATTCTGTTTCAATTGTTTTTAGTTTTTGCATGGGCTGAAGTTTCTTAATTACAACAAAAAGTGGATTGCCCCTTTTTTTTGTTTATAAAAACTAGCTATAAAAGTAAAAATGGATGTGTGAAAAGTAAAACGCAGAAGAAAGAAAGAAAATCTTTGGACTCACCATTCAGTTAGGTTTGCAGCTATGGCTGCAATAAAGCCCTGCACGTTGAAGCTAAGTTCATAAGCTGAGCATAACCCTAAACCTAGCATGATGGGAATAAGGGAGAAAAATGTGTACACCCCAGTGTACTCTCCAATTAAAATTTTAGAGATAAAAACTGTAAACAAAGGGGCAGAACTTTTGACAGTCTCTGTGAAAGACACAGCAACAAATTTTAGAGCAACCAGCCCAAGAACAACAGTTGAAAACCTGGAGAGTGAAAACAATGTTTGCTTTTAGCTACAGGTAGCAGGAGTTAGCTTATGGAGTTGGCAAGCATCAAATTATATTCTTGTCCTCACACTGACACACCCTACTGTCCCCACTCATATCAACACATCTTACATACTGTCCCCAATTGAATCAACACACCTTATTGTCCCCAAAAGTATCAAAATACATCAACATACCTCATTGTTCCCACTAGTATCAACATACCTCATTGTTCCCACTAGTATCAACATACCTCATTGTTCCCACAAGTATCAACATACCTCATTGTCCCCATGAGTATCAACATACCTCATTGTTCCCACTAGTATCAACATATCTCATTGTTCCCATGAGTATCCACATACCTCATTGTTCCCACTAGTATCAACATATCTCATTGTTCCCACTAGTATCAACATACCTCATTGTTCCCACAAGTATCAACATACCTCATTGTTCCCACGAGTATCATGTTCCTCCAGAAATTTGGTGGTTTGCCCTCCCTGCTGACAGGTGTGTACATCCCCAATGGCAAGTACATCTGGATGAAGCCAAACACAGTTGTCATCACCATCTGCATAGCCCCTGCGACATGCACATTTGATTTTAACTTTATTTTATTCTCATTATTTCATTAATCTAATGGATATTTTCTGTCATACTAAAAAAATCATTAATATGACCAAGTGAACTGCATCTATTGTGAATATTAATAAGCAAAATTTAACATTTACAAATCATTATTTATCTGAAATGACTTTTTATTTATATCTAACGATTTGGCTTACACACTTAAGTTATTTTCGAATTACCTAGAATAAAAAGTAATGACATGGATTTAAAAAAAAAATCCATCAAAACTTACCTAACAATGTTGGGTCACTCTTTAATGTTGCAAGAATATATTTGTTCAAAAACAAAGTACATGCACTGAAAAAGTACCACAGGATGAGAAAAGTGAAAGCCCGAGAGTTAAACAGCCCAAGTTTCTCCTTATCCACCACACTTGGCTTGCGTGTTCGAGGCTGTAAGTTGTCTCCCTGAGAGAGTGCTAGTTTTTTCTCTGTAACCCCTTCCATTTTCATCTTGGTGCAGTACTTAGAGAAGGACCCAAACAAGGGGCCACCCCTCACTGCAAGAAACCACCAAATGCAGCTAAGGGACAGAATTTTGACTGTTGGCTCAACAACCTGCATACAAAAAAAAACACCACAAGTGTTAAAAAACAGTAATTAACTTGTTTTTTAAACTATAAAGAAATTAAAAAAAAAATACTTTTGTTCATATATGAATATTGTTAAATAATAATGAAGAGCATATTTTAATTATTTAAGTATGATAAAATCTTATTTTACTTCGTTCAAAAATACAAAGCCTATAACAAACCTCTCATTTCGTTTAAAATATGAAACGTTAAAATAAAAATTGCAATGTAATTAGTATTTAAATGCTCTAGCACTGGCTAGCAGTTATATATTTGGATTTCTTCCCTTTGATAGAATCTATACTACACAGTTGTAGAAAGGAAAAACACACAATTTAATTAGTCAGCTGTCCTTTCAAGTTTTCTTCTTCTTCTTTCTTAATTTTAGTGTTGGAAGGGATCCCCCTCCAACACAATTAAGGATACGTGTCAACTGGTTATGCACCATTGACTCCGATTTCAGCCTGCTTTTCTTTTTGGATTTGCTTCCATAGCCTTTGTCCAACCAAGAACAAACTACAAGGCAGCAGTTGTTTGATTTTGGAGTTGTCTCTCCTAGAAGAGTAGCTGTCGTACCTAAAACGATAGATTACCAATCTAGTTCCTAGACTAGATAGATTTAGATTTTAGAATCTAAAATAAATCTATAACTAAGAATTCAAGACCAGCCTCGTAAAAAGTCTAGGCCTAGTCTAGATCTAAATTTAGACTAGATCAGACTCTAGTCTAGCTAGATCTAGATCTATAGACTAGTCTAGCTAGAATAGAATCTTGACTTGAAATTCCTGCCTGAGATCAAGAAAAGATTTTGAAACTTTTACTTTAGTGCCTAGATAGATATTTAATAATTTTAGGCTAAATCTATCTACCTACAAATACACTGATTTATTCAGAGCATATCATGCCGAGACTCAATATTTCCTTATTTTCAAATCCCGATTGATGAAATGGAAGATTAAGAGAAACTTTCGAACCATCCACGTCTTCACTTTCTCAAGCAGGTTGCCATTAGACAGGGGAAATAATGCTTATCAACTTCATCAAAGCAACGACGACGGAAAAAACTAGTGGGAGGAGGTCTTAAAATCAAATGTACCGACAGAATGTTTCTTCTATATCTCCGCTAGGCCTATATATAAGTAATCCATATCATTTTAAAACAGGGCCTACTAGCTAGATCTATCTATTATGATTATCGTTTTACTTCTAGAAATGAAGACGGCAAAATGAATGCTTTATGTACACTTTGTTTTTACCAATATAGATTTAATATTATAGATCTAGCCTAGTATTAAATACTAAACTCCTTGGAAGGGGGATTCACGCGCCTGGGGAGGGAGGGGGAAAGGGTGAACTCGTTGATGAAGGGGAAAGTACGACACACTTTGTATTTCAAATTCAAAGAGAGAATTTAAAAAAAAATATAATTTGCCGTTATTTTGCTTTTTCAAAAGAGTGAAATAGTAATAATATTGAGATGATCAATATAACAGACCTACTCAATGATGACCGAACAAAGAAATTTTTTTTAGAAAGAAATCGCTGTTTTAAAAGATACATGTTGTCATTTTGAGAATAGAAGTTGGCTGAGCGTGAGATGTGGCTTTTTGTAACCACGGGGAAATAAAAAACGCATATGGATGACTCCTAGCCAATCTTACGCTTTGTAAAAGTAAGACGCCCTAGTGTCTATTAAAGTACCTAGCAAAAAAGCCAATTTTACGCCGACCCGCGGCGTATCATACGCCGCTATTTAGTTGTTTTATTTTCTACTTTTCAGTAATTCATAATTTGTGAATACGTTAGTACCACTGATGTCACTGAAAATATTTGCTTTAAAATTAAAACACTATCAGTAAGTCGTTAAGGATGATTACCCCCCTTCCTTTCCCCCCCCCCCCGTGAAAGCAGCCTCCTCTTAGTTACCTCCCCTAAGTTTAAAATCGTTTCAAACTAAATTATCTGCCCCTAATAGCCGTCACTAAATCCGGCTCTATGATTGTAAACATTTAGCATGAACCACAGCTCACCAGACTTCCTAGAGAGGAAGAGAGGGGACTGCAAGGCGCGCTTACAGCTTGTTTTCTAACGTCTCCAAAAAGAGAATTATATATATAGATAGATATTTCACTCCTAATTTCCAAATGGCAACGTTGTTCCCGTTTGAATGTATATTTCTTAAATCTAACACTGTTATGAAACATGTTTATTTAGGTTGAAATACTATTTGTACCAAGTTCTTGCATACACCTTTGCATTTACATTTTTTTTACATAGGATGTAGATCTAAATCAAAATTAACCATATTAAAAAATACCAGAATCTTTTCTATTTTTTCATTTATGTATTTAGTCTTTACAAATTAAATAATAACCAAAGCAAATGAAATAAAACATTTATATTTTTTTGAACTAATTTATTGAACTTTTCCAAAACACTTTATAATTTAGTGTAGTTAACAGCCTCCAAAATACCATTAACTACATTGTCAGTAGTGCTATGATGTTTAAAAGATGTTGAATATACATTGATTTGTGAAGAAATAAACCAAACAAACCATTTTAAATGAATTCATGATAGCTTTCTTCAAGAGCAAACTATAATTCATATATATATATATATATATATATATATATATATATATATACATACATATATATACATACATATGTATAATACATTTATATGCACACACACAGACATACAATGAAAAACTAGCAAAATACATTATTTACAGTTCTCGTGATATTGATGGGTAAAAATGAAACCTATAAACTGTAATAAGAATGCCATAACAAATTAACATGTAGTGAGAAAAATAAAATAAAAACTAATGCAATGCTGGAGAGCACACAGAATTAGTAATTGTGTATTGCACAGTAAGTTTAGCCTTTATGTCAGTACATAATCACTTGATAGGCTAAACACACTCTATTATAAAAATTCATATCCACAAAGAAGTTTCTATATTAACATCTAGTTTTTTTGTGTGTATTCAAGTTGTTAAATTATGTTATGTGTATGATTGTTGTTATATCTAAAAAGTTGAATTTTGAGATTAAAATTGCTAACACTTTTACAAACATCACATGATGTTAGAGGTATCTAAATAAATATTATCTAAAAATATTATCTATTCTGTAATCAAATGTTTTATTAAAAAACTTTAAAATTAAACAAAAAAACTGTTACTATACCTAATTGGTAAAATCATCTATAGAGTGTAACCATTATAAAATATGTTGAGCTTGCACCAATCAGGAAGGTTAAACGTACATACTGGTTTGTTGTTTACCAGTTCTACAGCAGGTTATTAATTAAAGGATACAATACCAGTCTATAGTAATATAGAATTATTGATCTTAATAGCATGTTTCAATAACACAACAGTTCAAGTGTTGACTTCGATAATCTTATATATTATTTACTCACCATAAAAAAAAACAAAATAAATAATATAAATGTGCAAAACATCACTTATTACAGCATGTAATTCACTAGTAAAAAACTAATAATCAACAGCAATTATTTGTTAAGCGTCACACGTCATAAAAATCTACTATTTTCTAAAATTTTAAAAACGAATGGAGGCAGCTTTGGGTTTAGAAATACATAACACATCACATCCTACAAGGTATATCTGCTGTTAAAGTGTCATCATTGTGCAACAATCGAGTGCTGTTTAAGAAGGCTTCACAACCACCATTGTCCTAAGAGCGAATTAACTCCATTATTTTACCACTTACTTTTGATAGTGTGTTAGTTACTTTAAAAGTGTTTGCTTTTTCTTCTGGTAATATTTACCTCATAATTAAATACATTTACCTTATTTATTACACACACTATTATTAAAATAATAAAAAAAGTAACTGTTGACATTATTGAGATAGTGTAGGGAGATATTCTAAATGAAAAGAAGAGGACTAAAATTAAGAACTGGGGAAAAAGAAAACTTTTAGTAAAATAAATGCAGATGCAATTTTTTTTTAATCTAAACTACTGATATGGACATACGTAATTGCTATTGACATAAAAAGAGTTCTATATATGCGCAACATTATATCAAACAAATGTACAATTGAACAAAATTTAAGAATGAATAGCATGTTAATGCAAAGGCCAACATTCCATGTTGCCCAACAGAATGCAGGGGTAAGTCAAACTTGACCAGCAGAATGATGATTCAAACACAAGTAAAAAAAACAAACTCCAAATACAATATAAAAACAAAACATAAAGCAATGCAGAGTACACTAACATGTTTCAGCTGGGGTATACCAATGGCTTTCTGTCACAACATTTATACTAAGTGACACTAAAACACATGGAGAGGCAAACATTCAATCAATTCAAATGGCTCAATGTAAAACCCTCAAGGGTTTAAATGTAATTAATGAGATACATTATAATACCAGATTACACAGGGACACAAACATATACCAAATTTAAATTAAGAAAATAGAATTGTTGTTACTTAATATTTCTAAGCCTTTTTTTTTGAGTAACGGTTAAATATTATATTTAAAATAAAATGCAACACAGCATATGTAGGAGACTGGAATAAATAATACTTAGATGTTGTGATATTAAATCATATTCAACTTGGTATGTTGGGGATAGAATTATCCAAAAAGCCTTCATCAAATAAAAATTAGAAGCATTCTTGTTAGGATCAAGCAATTTGAAATTTAAAATTTTTAAGTTTAAGGAAACAAACTTTGCAGGACAGAAATATGGGAAACTTGTACAGCTGTTATATGTTCACCACATGTAATAAATAAACAAACAAAAACAAACTCAAATTTTTAGTTAAACACAGAACTTAATGGGAGAACAGGACTTAGTTACTGAGTTTCTACTTTGATCTAATAAAATCCAATGCTTTATTCTTTCCACATTAAATTATTTCTGAAATGAAACACTAAGGTCTTAATTTCAGTTGTGCTGATACCAAAGAATATTAAACAAAAACAGGTTTTCAAAAGGTTTCTTTATTTTAAAATTTCTTAGCACGATTTGAGAATAAATCACTGGCCATTATAAATTTTATCATGGGAACCTGAGTTTGATCTCAATAAGTTAAATATAATTACAGTTTTGCTGAAAAAGACTTAGTTAAGTCAACTAACATTAATGCATGAAGATAAAGTAAGCACAACAATAAGTTATAACAGACAGTTTTTCCCTACAAATGCAGAAATTATTTATTATCAACTGAGGGGAGGGCACTTGATGAAATGAATATATTTCTTAAAATACATTCGTTGACCCGGTATGGACAATAGCAGCCAATTGATCAGACTTGCATTCTATGGATGACGATTCTATTTAAGCAGATTTCCTTTTTTCAGCAAGCCAATTTTCAATTTTCTGCTTCATCTCGATGGCTATATAAAATAAAAAGAATATAGTTGAGAATAATTCAACAAAGATTTTAAACTAATCTAAAGAATACTTAAAAAAAGACAATGGTGATAGTATACCAGGTATAAGCTCTTCTTCCTTCAGTGGCTGCCTGTTGAAAGGGTCTGTTTGAGAGTTCAGCAAATGTCTTATGATAATAGCCCTGTCCATCACTGTCCCACTGGGTAAAATCACAGGATTCTCCATCAGTGTGTCCATAAGGGGGTCTGACCAATTATAATAGAACAATTTATGTTGGTACAGAAATATAAAGATTAGAAACACAATCTAGTAAACTTTGCTAAATAAGCTTAGACTGAGCCAAAACGGCTACAGGACATTACCCCCCCCCAAGTTAGAATCCTAACTCTAACTCAAATTCTATACCTATACATTACCTTAATCCTAACCTTAAGGAAAATACCAAAACCTAAGAATTCACCTCAGCCTTAACACAAAACCAACTCTAGACATTGGTTTAAGCCTTATGTTGACCATAACACTAACCATAATCCTAGCCCTGACCCTAAAACTAACCCTAACTTTAAGCAGTGTCCGGGGGGGTAATGTCCTACTTTGAGGGGGGTAATTGACAGGAGGGGGTAATGCCCTGTTCCCGCTAAAACATATGCTGAAGTAGAAAACAACAGCTTATAAAAAATATATAAGAACCTAACATACAAAAAGGCCAGAAGAATTTTCCTTAAATTAGACAGGTGGCTGCATTTAAAAATATTCACCTTTGAACTCATCAGGAATATCTCCATAATCCATTTCTGACTTGTGCTTTTGTACAAGGAATGCCTCAACTCTTTTCTGAAGTTCTGAAAATGAGTTGATTTCTTCCTGGGTTTTGATGCAGGCCTTCATCATGCAGTCAATGGCATTATCGAATAGCTCTTTGCGATAGGACCTCTGATATAAAACAGGATATCAAAGTAAAAGAAAAAAGAAAATAACTTTTTGAGTTTTCATGTTTTACTGCATAAATTAAGAATACCAAAACACATATTAAGAGTAACAACTGCCAACAACAAACCTCATCATTAGCTATTGCTTTAGCAAACTCCTGACAGTCTAAATGCAGGTAAATGTCAGTGAGGATGTTGAGCAGTTTCTTGGGCTCCCACCCATACTTCTCTGGGGTCTTGACCTTCAGGTTCTTACACTTGGGTCCACACAGCTGCTGGAGGTTGAAGTTGAGCATGGCTGTCAGGCGATCAGCAAGCTCCTGCGGAATGGATACAGACACAGGTGAATCCTGGGACACAGGTGAATCCTGGGACTCATGCGAAATTACTGGGGCAAAAGGTGAATTCTGGGACACATGTGAAATTACGGGGACAAAAAGTGAAATTTCTGGGAAACTGAAATTCTGTACAAGGATATGTTTAAGGGGTATAGGGGAAATTTCTGACAAAAGTTAAATTTTGGGGTTAAATTTCCAGAGACAGTAGTTGATGGTACAGGGAAAATAGACTCCAGATCTTTTCAAGGTTTAAATTTGAACTGAACTATCTTATATTTTTTAATATTATTATGGCTTATTATATTTTTGGGCTGAAGGCATAACAAAGTACAGGATATACTTGTTCTTAAGCACCTTTTTCACAAGCACCCCCCACCAACCATTCAGTTTTGGGGGAAAAAAACACCTCAAACTCTGGCATGTATGATATTTTTCAACAATAAGAAATTAAAACTTCTAATATGTTGCAGCTTAAAATCTACCAAACAATTTTTAGTTCAACATAACGTATTAAGGTAATCAATAATGGAAGCAGCTTGTGAGAATCAATTTTAATCCAGCTTACAAATATTTAAGTAGTTAATCTTAATGTTCATTTGAATACTTGGGAACTTCAACATTAGAACTTAATTCACTTAAGAAGGTAGCTTGTTATTTCAACACTGGATCAATTTTTAAAATCGAAAGGCTGTTAATGAAATCTTACACCTAAATCATACGATTATTACTGAAAAAAGTATAAAGTTTTAAGCCAAAGGGGGGGTGGTGGTTTTAGTTTAGAGAAAAGAGACAGCACTATCAGCCTAGCGCCTGTTGTATCCTTCCTCAACGGCCATTTTTCTCGTTCTAAATAGAATCACTATCAAGACAAATAACTAGCACTTACAGGCACTAAAAACGGTTCAACAATTTTAGTGGACAGGTAATGAAACATCTCCACAGTCTCTGTTGCTAAGGTCAGGTAGTTTCTACACTGGCGCTCATCTGAAGAGAGCTGCCTGGTTTTAGACTGCTGTTGCTCCTGTAACACATGTACTGAGATATTTGATACAAATACATTAAAATCCTCTTCAAGTTTTCATATTCTACCAAGCAGTAACACATATATAAATAAAAATATATATGTGGTATAAAGCTTTTAACAGACCACACCAAGCTGCCTGTGTTGATTGTAACTGTGCATAAAATGTCACTATTGGAATAGTTAAGCAAATCCAAAAAGAAAAGCCGGCTGAAATCTGAGTCAATGGCCTCAATGGCGCATAACCAGTTGACACGTATTCTTAATTGTGTTGGAGGGGATCCTTTCCAACACTAAAATTAAGAACGAAGCAGCAGCAGACTAGTAAACTTAAGACTTGTAAAAACTGTAACTAGGAGGAAGGCGAAAGAAATATTAAAATCCGTACTAAAAAAAAAAACAACCTCTCACTTCCAATAACCAGCTAAGCTGAAGTTACTTTTCACCCACCTTGTTCAGAGCATTCCACTTGGCTTCACTGTCCATCAGATCTTGAATTTCATGGATTCGCTTCAAACAATCCAAACTTTCATCTAACAGAAAGGTTGTGTCGTTCATCAGCATGTTGACAAATTTTATGAACTGTTTTCCAGACCTGGAGTGGATAAAACAAGCTACAGATATCAGCACAAATCAAAACCAAAGTGCTATAGTTTTTCACAAAAGAAAACTTGAAACTTTAAAAAAGGTTTTGAAATTCCTAATTAAAAAATTAGTGTAGTTGTTGCCAGAAATGAAAAAGAAAATGAAGATGTAATAACAGAATTTTTTTTTTTCACATTTAAAAATAAAGGTTCCTAAAGATACTGACCTTGCTTCTTCCATAAACTTAAACTGATGTGATGTCATTGTCCACATAGTTTTGAAGATAATACTAATATGGTATCTGATAGTAAACTTGTCATAGAATTCACTACTGGCACCAGTAGTTTCCACATCTGCAAATACAATTTTAGAATTATTTTTAATTCGCTGAAAAGAAAAGTTAGATATCCTAAAAGAGCAAAAAGAGTTTTTAAATATTCTAACTGTGAGAGTAACTATTATGTAAGAAAATGAATCAACAATTTCCACATTTATTTTCTACCATTGCTTATTCCCTGATATTCATTAATTGAAAGTACAAAAAAATTGAAAACAGTTAAACTTATTAAATTATAAAAGAAGAAAAAACAGTTAAAGCATTACATTTCAAAACAAAGATTTCCTTTCCAATTAAGTAATGAAATAATTTTTTAACAATTACTCAATTAAAAAGCAAACTGCTAACGAGCGTACTCACCAGTATAGAATTTCATGAGTGAGGGAACAAGGTTGTTTATGGCCACCTCAGACATGAGAAGTTCAGTGTTGAGAGATTCAGTTTTGGGCTGGATGCTGGGCTGCAGCACAAAAAGCACCTCCACCAGCTTGGCAGTGAGGTAAGGGTTGCGGAGGTAGTTCTGGGAGCACAACATCACCAGGACAAGGCGGCTCATCTGCTTGTGCTCAGCCTCCACTAGGCCCCCTGGGATATATCTAAAAATTGTTGATTAAGTTAGATTTCAAATTAAAATACCACAGCAAATACAACTGGTATACATTTAAAATATTTTATTTAGCAGGGGGTAATTTTAAAATCTTTAAAAGCAAATGCATAATACTGGTAATATCTAAAATAGCTACAAAATTATAAAAATCTAAAATTTTCTTTCAGGTTTAGCAAAAACCTAAATTAACTAAAGATTCTCAATTTGGTTTAGTGATACACATCAAACATTTTTGAAGTTCTTGGATTAAATAATATCACCAATGGCACTTAGTGTAAAAGTAAAATTAAAGATTCTCATTTCCTTACTGCAATGCAAAAAGAATGAAGTCAGCCATATCTTCCAGATAAAACTCTGGTAGAGCTGAGAAATAGCCTGGGACATTTTCAGGAAGTGGCACTTCTTGGCTGAAAAGAGGAAAAAAAAGATTGAATACTTTAGATAGTGAGCTAAAAACTTTGAGTTGTGTAACAACTTTATTTAGAACACTCTGGTCTGGGTCACCTGAAGGAAATAAAAATGGGCTCACAAATTCCAGAGTTAATGGTGTCTGTTTTTATAGTCTACTAGGCATATAATAAGAATTTGGAAGGATTTTTTATTTAAGGTGAAAAAGCATATATCTAACAATTAGAATGTATAAAAAAAATGTATGCCTTGTTTATTTGAAACACTTCTTATAATTGTATGATGGAATATTAAAAGATGAATGTTTCTGCAACAAACTACTTCATCATACACCACATATTCACTAGGTCAGTGTACATAGTTACCAAGGCAACCTACTACGGACACTCACCATATATTCAAAGGGTCAGTTTCACAAACATACCTACTTGCATATTCATGTAACATAGTGTGCCGCCATCACTTACCATCTATTTTCAGGGTCGGCTATTCTCATCAAGAGATCAGCTGTACGGGTATAGAAAGACAAACACCTCAACAGCATATCTTTGTCCAACACTCCAGCATCTGCACACATTTTGCTCTTCTGGAGTCTCTGTATCACAACAACATTATTATACACACGGTTGGCATGGTGGTTTGTACTAGAAATACTGACAAGGGAGGGGGGAAACTAAGACGAGGGGGTCAAAAAATGTTTTGCGTTCCATTTACAGGTGTGAGGGATATTAAAATACAAAAACCAATGTAATATCTTCCAAAGCATTATATTTTTCCAAACCAACTTTTTTTTTTCTGCAGTGCAAAAACATGTCTATTTAGCAATATGTTAAAAAGTAACAATTCAGTGAAAATTTACTAAATGCCGGTAAGGTAATACAGTATCATATTCAGGTTCCTTTCATGTTTGGCGAGTTAGGAATATTGGCCAGTAATAGCCACAAAATAAAAATACCCTACAAAAATAACAAATAATATTTGTCCAACACTGTCACAAGGATCAAATCTAGATTATTTTTTTAATCCACTTAGACTCACCTGGTACTGGGATTTCCAACGTTTCAGCTGCTCTCTGCTGCGTCCGGCAGTGGGCAGGTTTTTCCACTGGGGTTCAGCTGCCTCCATGTCAGAGATCAGGCGGTGCAGGTCGCGGATAGCTCGCAGGCGGCGCTGGTACTTGCGCGTGACTGGTAGAATGGCTAGGTGGTGGCAGTGGAGGGTTAAAAAGAAGCATTCTGTGGCAAACTTGGGTTCTTGCTGATCTTTCAATGACTGCACTGTGAGAACAAAGTTTACATACATACAATTATGATAACTGTAGCCTACTGTAAGTAAAAAGTTTACATACACACAACTTTGATAACTACTGCAAGTATAAAGATTACACACACACAAGATTTTCATAAAAGCACTGTAAATACATTGTTAATATAAACAAATTTTTGATAACTGCATTATAAGTTTAAATACACACAATTTTCATAACAGCACTGTAAGTACAAAAGTTACATACACTGTGTTGTTTGTTAACTGCAGTATTAAGGACAAAGTTTTGAAAGTTAGCATGCACAAAATTCTGAAGGTGATAAGTGACAAAAAGAAACACCGGACAGAGAAAATACATGTCAACTTACAATTTTGCTGACTCCACTCTTCCACCTCCTTTTCTGTGAAGCGCATGCGTGATTTGTTTTGAAGACTGAGACGTTTTGTACAATGGAATGGATAATAAATATCAATCTGAAAAATAATTGTTTAAATCACATCAATCAGGGCTTAAGAGTCATATTTGACGGGTACAAAGCACATTTGTAAATATGATTTAAACTTTAACCATCATGGGCGACAAAACTTGAAAGATAAAAACAAGTCACTACCTTGTCTAAGTCAATTTTTTCTGAGAGTTTTTGTAGGACGGACATCAGGTTCAGCATAAAGCCATCACCACTTAAAAATCTTTCATCAAACTGTAAAAACAAACATTCCGAGTATTTCAAATGACGTTACAACAATAGAAATAAAAAAATGATTGCCTATATAAATACTGTTTTAAAATTTACCTGAATTTGGGAGCGTTTGGCATTTCTATCCAAGACTTTGGAAATTAAATTAAGAGTGGCTTCCCTTGTGGGAGAATTGAGCAGCATGTTGTGGATTATTTGAAAACAATTACTCTGAATAAATGACAGAAACAAAACATAATTATTATTTTAAATATAAATTATTATACAGTTAATACAGTGAGCAAAAACTATCATATAATATATAAAACTGTTATTTTTTAAGGAAAAATGTAATTTTAAAAGTGCTATATCAAAGAGATTATAGCAATATTTTTATAAGTTTAGTATTAGAAAGTAATTAAAAATTATGAGACCGCTCTTAAACATTGGTATTTAAAATTAATTACAAATTCAAATGTTCATAATAATACTTAAACTGCCTGATCAATCAATATACTTTTACATCATCATTTTAAAAGAATACATGCCATTTTTCAGCAGTTATCGAACCTTAAAAAACACACAAGTTAAAACATAACCAATCTTTTCAACAAAACTGAGGCTAATACACTGACCCTAACATCCTCCAGACTGCCCATTAAAGATTTGTATATTGCCCAGGCATTGTCCTGTGACATGTGATGATTGGCGAAAAATTCTTCAACTACTTTCACCTGTATAAAGCAGGAAGAAAATGAAAACAGTGTTGACATCTGTGTATAAAATAAACAAGCAAATGCTGAATAACTGTTCCAGATTTAAAACAACAATCAACTATGACTAAGGATTACTCACATCATCTTCAGCAAATACAGAAAGCCCAAGAAAAGGTCCAAGTAGAGTTAACTTTTCAACTTCCATGCCAGCAGCTTGGCTGACTGGCTCTGTCAGCCAGTTAGGTTGTTCTATAATCTGTCAATTAATTTTGTTTGTTAGTCAAATCATAGACAACATTCAGTTCACATGAAAAACTCGACCCTCAGGGAAATGAAACAAACAACACAATATTCCTACCAAATTACAAATGGGACGGCAATTGGCTGTCTTTATGCTGGTTAGCTCGACCATCACTGCTAGTGGATCACGGTATTTGTCTGTATTTAGTCCAAGTGTAGCAATATAGCGGGACAGGTATTGGAGAATTGGGCTGAAAATCTGTTATAATATAACAATAAAGTATTTAAAAAGATGTAACTTATCTCACTATTAAACTTACTTTTATAAAAATGCATAGGCTTAAAACTAAGGTAATATTATAAAAATAATAGATTCATGTTAGTCTAAGTTACTGATATTTTTCTCCTCAAGGCCCAGGTGTTATTTACTATTGTGTTTAGTTTTTAATAATCTCAATCTTCACCTAAGAGTTATTCTAGATCCATGCAAAAAGTTTAGGATTTGATTTTAAATTTCAATTAGTTGTCTTTAAAAAAGCAATGATAAAATGTCATTCCACAAAAAAAAATTTTATTCCGAAAAGCAATGAATTTTATATATAAAAAAAAGTTTTCTATTCTAAACACATCTGAGTTAAATTCTTCCCACAATTGAAATAAACCTTACTTTGTGTAAAGTTGCAGTATCTTGGTGAAATGTGTGCACAAGTTCTGACAAAAAACCTCGAGCTAAGTTATGTGATAGGAGAAATGGAATGAGGGGAGAGTATCCTGTTGCTGACCTGTTGGGTAGAAAAGGTGGCATTTAAACAACAAAAGTTTCATACAAATTGCACAGTAAATAGGTCCAGATAAATAAAGTGTATGAAAAACATGTTATGATACTTTGTTTGGTTAAAAAAAATAATACTAACTGTTTATTTAAATAAAAAAATATAACACTTTAATTTTAGGCGTGGTCGAGTCGGTAAAGCTCATGGTTGCTAAACCGAAAGTCTCGAGTTCGAACCCTCGGGCAGATGAGGCTCGTTAGCTGGGGACAGCCACTCTTCTAGGAGAGACAACTCCAAAATCAAACAACTGCTGCCTTGTAGCTTGTTCTTGGTTTGACAAAGGCTATGGAAGCAAATCCAAAAAGAAAAGCAGGCTGAAATCGGAGTCAATGGCCTCAATGGCGCATAACCAGTTGACACGTAACGCTTAATTGTGTTGGAGGCGTGGTCAAGTCGGCAAAAAGCTCATGGTTGATAAATTCGAAAAAAGTCTCGAGTTCAAACCCACTGGCAGATAAATCTCGATCCCCTTCAACACTAATAATTAAGAACGAAGAAGAAGAAGTAATATGCAAAACATAGTGCTGTTTTCTTTAACACTACAAAAACAAAGCGTGACAAAGTCTGTTTATGTAAAGACTTAAAAATCTAAAGAAGTTGAAACATGTACCTGGACTGAGTGAAGACACCTTGTAAAGTGAGGGAGGAGTAACAGACACACTGGTTTCTTGCAATAGACAAGGCATCACTCATGGGTGGTATGCTGGTTTTCTGGAAGAAAGTAAACAACACATTTTTATACTTTCAGAATCTTTAATTAAAAAAAAGCAGAGTACTCTTTCAAACCTTAGGGCCCACTTGGCAGGTAAAGTAGACTTCCCCCTGTTTCAGTGACCTTGGCATATGAAGGGATTGTTATCAATTTTAAGCCAAGCCAGCTTTTTTCCTGGATGTGAGTCAGGTACCCTTTAGAGCTGGGTGGACTCAGGGACTGGAGCCTGGGATCAGAACAGTAGACTTCCGGGTGAGCAGTCGAACACTCTACCATATGATAGGGCTGTCTCCAAAGTGGACATAATGTAAGAAAATGTTTTTGTAAACCATGATCAGTATCCTATTTTCAAGTTCTCAATTTCACTGTATGAAGTTTCCAGAACCTTAAATAATGCATAAAAAATTTCAGCTAAATATCTAGCCTGAGATCACAACAATGGCTTACTTTTGGTGAGTTCTTCTCCTCGATGGCCACTCTATCATAGCAATCAATCAAGTATTTGAGGATGTTTAGTTCTGGTGATGATGGAACAGTGATCTTGCTGCTGAATTCTCTACAACTGATGTAATTTGTTCCTTGCCAGCAACTGTGGATGTTAAGGGAACGACAGATAAATGAAGGACTCTGGCATACTTAATTGGGACAGCAAAAACAGTCGTGTTTTATTACCTTTTTTGATAATTTAATTAGGAAAAAAGTATTTGGTAGATAAGTATAGTTTTTTTTTTAGATTTGTACTAATGGTAAATGTTTATTTTAACCCTGGTAGTGTAGTAATTTACAGTATTCTATTACAAATTAATGAAGCACTTATGTTTACTTTCAAACTAATAAAAATCTCTATAAAAACTTTCAAACTAACCAAATACCAAAGACAATTTATTTGAAGACAAGAATATTTTACTGTCAAAATTACATTCATGGTAAAATTTACCAAGTTTTTAAATTGGTCTGTAGAATAATCATTAACGGAGAGAAGCATGACAAATAACAAGATGGTCAAAGTAAAAAATGTAAAGATAAATAAAACTTTAGTTATGTTTCTTGACTTCCGCATATGGAGGGATGGCTTGGTCAGCACTATGCCCAGCTGGAAGGGTTACCCATTAAACAATGGCACTTAGTGTCAACTTACCCAATGTCATTAACATGAGGAGGTGACTTCTCAGCGCTGGCTGTGTTAGATTGAGAACTTTGTAAAACTAGAACAGATTCCATAACCATCTGGTTAATAAGGTCTCGGATATCACTTGGTTCTGCCAAAGATGAAGAAAATCTTTCATTAAGAAAACAGTCTTCCTATGGAATCTTAGCAGTACTAAAGTAAATTCAAATCCTTTAAAACTTCTAAAAAAACTAATGAATGGTGATGTCAATCATGCACAAGAGCAATTATAGTTGTGATGGATATAATTAAAAATAGAAGTGGTAATTATTTTGTTCACTGAGCTTATAAACTATAATTGAACATACAGACGTAACAGCTATTAAAAAATGCCAGCAGGACAATTGAGACAAAGCAGGATTATTTTCTGAATGCTCTTTGAGTCATGGTTTGGTTAGCAATGCTAACACAAAGGTAGCCTGATACAGTCTGATGAGACTTGAAATAATTTTGTTTTAACAGCCTGATATACTTCCTACAAACATGTTAATTAGAATAATTAAAAGAACTTGTTGGCCAACCCACTTGTTGAAGAAGCTGCAGCTACATCAGCCAATTCCCTGAGATGTAAAACATTATTTGTTCTACTGTACTCCTCTGACCATGAAACTGCAAATACTCTACATAAGGCCTTTTTTACTTGATCCTCACTTGCCTCAGACCCCACACTTACGTTCTGGGGAAAATTATGTCAAAAATTTAAAAACAGATTGGTCAGAATCTTTCACAAAATGACAGAAAAAAAGGATTGATACAGATTGATTATGTATTCACAAAAATTAGCATCACAAAATTTTAAAAATCATATATTACTATACAGCCAAGAAATAAATGTAACTAGTTTATAATATACACAACTAAACTTCATTAGGTAATGCAATGAAATATTATAAAAAAGGGAACTTACTCTTTTTCTTTTAGGTTCAGGGTGGTCATCTACTTCCATAGTTTCTATACCAGAATCAACATCAAGCTGACTGTAAAGTACATTAAAACATAAACTTAAGATAACAGTGGATCAAAACATTTGCTTAAATCATCCCCTAAAGAATCTATTCCAGAATCAACATAAAACAGGCTAAACAACTTTTGACTAGTTTGTGGTATCTGAAGACCACAAAATCGGCTAGATACCAAAGTTCTGCTAGATATATAACTTTATTCTGTGAAAAAAGGCAACATACCATTTTTCATTCTGACTATCCAGTGTACTTTCTTGAGAAGGATCCACTTCCATACCTGCTATTGTTAATATGAACAATTGAAAGAATCCATGATTAAAATAGAAAAAAAAAACCCCATTATTTTAACTTATAGGGAACTATCTTTATCATATTGTATAACAATGGATACAAAACAACTAGAGCTTAAATAATATATCGTTTTCAAAAACATTTCCACGTAAATATTGTTAATAGTCCAGTAATAACTGACAAGAATTTAAACCTATTAACTATTTATTCGGATAATAAATTCACCATCAACCTTCCACATAAAAAATACTTATAGGTCTCTGTAGTTTATGCTACTGTAGGAAGTAATTAACTGAAGAAGGTTCTACTTGTTTAATATGTAGGTACATTAGTCAAAGGATCCAAAGAGAAAAAAAAAGGCACAAATAAATACTAACTTGCTCCATTTGGAGATGGTGTACTTATATGCTTATGTTTTTCTGGCTGTAGTTTTGTGGCTGAATTATCCCCACTTGTGATAGCTGGTGTACTGCTACCAGAGGCTCCTTGAAGCTGGAGACGAGCAAGCCGTCTTCGGCGAATCTAGAGCAAACAGATTAGTGCATGAAACATCAAGAATGGCATACGGAATCGCATATTTCAGAGGTAGAGCGATTTACTTTCCTGTATACACAGTATAGAGGAATTACTAATTATAATTAACAGATATTTTGACAGTTTTACACCTCCCTACTTTATTGTATACGAGATATATATGTATTGTAATCGTGTAAAAATCTTAATTGAGACTTTGACAAATTTGGACGTTTTACAACCTTTTGGGTCCTGAAAAATTTCAATCCTATCGGTCAGTGTGCATGTAAACACTATAACATGATTACCATTTCAGTTAGGCCAAAAAAATTTTCATCTACTTTTTAGTGATTTCCAATGTCATTAAGTTATTATTAAGTGGCGTAAAGTGGTACTGACTCTACTTCATTTTTTAAAAGCCTAAAACTTGAGTACCATTCAAGCTAGGTGGACGATAATTTAAATATAAGTATTAGAATGTATGCAAAGGTATCTGTCAGATTCTCAACGACTTCTAGTAATCAGAAGTAGTACTTTATTTCTGTTAGAACACTATTTGGATTACTCTCAAATTTTGGGTGACTTTTCGATATCAGGAAGTTGTACTTTTTTTTCCTGTTTCTAAAATACTGATAACATAAGGTGAGGTAGAATATCCCCCAACGACACCACAGGCTCAGCGGCATCACTGGCAGGTGCACTACTGCAGGGATGCTGCCCCTGGTTTGATTTGGTCATCTAGAGAAGGACGCTCTTTAAAAAAGATACCCCGGCCACATGGCCGCTGGGGCGCCAGCGGCGCGGTTTGACAGTTGGATCAGGAATTACCCCTTACTGCCTTAGCAGGACACCTAATCAAAATGTTGAGGCCTTTTGTGAAAGTGAATTCACAAACTAGATCTAGAATGTAACTAGAATACTACATATATTATTATTAGATCTAGACTAGATGGTAGATTTAGAATCTAATCTAAGTCTAGAAATCTAGATCTAATCCATAATCGTAAAAAAATGTAGGTAGCTTACAAACTCTAGATTAGTTCTAGATTCTTGATGGAGTAGATCTTGTTTTATATTTTATAAGAGAAAAATATAAACCCTGCCTAATTACTAATATTTAGGGCCTACATATACTAATAATATATAGGCCTACTGACAGCCTATTAATTATGATATTATGACTGATTAATCTAGAATATACTAGGCTATAGATAGGCCTATAGAAAATATAGATAAGACTAGATTCTAGGACCAATGTTGGAGTCTCAGCAACAATAACATTATTAAATTATTAATGTTTGAACTAGGGCACTAATCATTCTAATCTAATTGTCAATTCAATTGTTTAAAAAAATGGCCGATGCTAGCCGGAAAAAGATGCGCATGCGCAATGGAGAGAAACTACGACTTGCCATCGCGGCAATGTTTTCGATGGTACTGTGCATGTGTGTGTTTACAACCGCAGAACCCTAACACTATCCCTAACCCTAATTCTAGCCCTAACCATAGCCATAGGTCACTGCGCATGCAGACTAAGTGGAGACGTTGGGGAGAAAAATCTTCTTCCGAGTAGTCACTTTGTAAAACAATAGGCCTAGAATCTAGATTCTAGAACTTGATCTAGACTGGTGACTAGAAAAATCTAGATCTAGATTCTAGATCTAAAATCTAGATCTAATCTACATCGTAACATTGACAAAACAACACAAAATAAAACTTTCACTTGTCTGAGTTTTTTTATTTGGTAGTTTTAATTTTAAGTTAAGACTAAAACTTAAGACTTAAGAATTGTGACTTAAGATTACTTAAGAAGTTAAGAATAAGAGTTAAAAATTAGGCCTAATGAATGAGTTAATTAATAATTATCAGTAGTTCAGTAGTTTAGTATTAAATTAATCATTTAATCAGTCAGTACTCTAACTCAGTAGTGTACTGTAAGTCACTGTAACTGACTGTAAGTTTAGAAGATCTAGATTTCTAGACTAGATCTAGAGATCTAGATTTCTCTAGTCGTAGTATCACATTCCTTTTTTTAAAATATTTACTAAATAGTCAGTGAGTTTCTATAGATCTATATCTAGAAGTTAAAGTAAGTTTGTGAACTAATGATCTTACTTCATCTGGTGTTAGCTCACTCATTCTTTATGTTCCGATTTTGCCTTGCTTATTGACTATGACGTAGCTTTCTTATTGCGGATCATCTGTTCTTATTTTCCTTAGTTTAAGCTGAAATCAAATCTACCAAGTCATCTAGCTACCATTTTGACGAAGTTATTTTAGCACATTACTTAATTTATGTTTTAACAACAAACAAACAAACAAGAAAAGCAATCAAAATTTATTTTAAGATACTTTTAAAAATTACATTTACAAATTACATATAAACATCCAAGCTAATCACAAAATACTTATTTAAAAGAAATACGATCAACAACTATCAAAAATAGCGTTTCATAAGACAATTTTCTTTGGTGGAATGGGGGGGGGGGGGGGGGGGGGGCAAAAAGATGTGAGTGAGTGAAACTTTGGAGGACCTACAAATTTCTGGATATTTCAATATAAGCCTACACTATATAGGCCTATTTCCTTTATTTCGTGCGGGTGGCAGGTGGGCAATGGAGAGGTCTGAAAGAAACACTGCACAAGACAAGACACAAGAGATAAGGCCATAATTAAAAAAAAAAAAAGACAAACTGTATTGTCACTACTAAATTATTAATTAGCAGGTTTAAAAAGCCTGATTAGTAGTATCGTATTGCTAAATTTGCTGTTCTGTCAATACCTAGCAATACAAGATTTGTAAAAAACTATTTTTTTTTTAAATTAAAAAGACTGTTGTAGTGTATTATAAAATTAATTAGACTAACGAATTACATTGGCTTCACTTGTCGTGTTGCAACCCCACACATCGACAGCAATAAACAGAGCTTATATGTAGGTCATACTACATAGCAGTAGCGTAGCGCGGTTGGGGGGGGGGGCATATGTCCCCGGGCGCCGACCTTAGGGGGCGTCAAAATGGGTTGGAAAAATAAATCGAAAGGGTGAGGGGGGGTGCAAATCGAAAGTTTGAGGGGGGTGGGGGGTGGAAATCGAAATCTTGAGGGGGGGGGGTGCAAATCGAAAAGTTTGTCCCCGGGCGCTGGGAAGGGTCTCTACGCCTCTGCTATATAGGATCCCATTCTTGAGTCTTTTGAACGTCCCTGAGTCCACCTAGCTCTGATGGGTACCTGGCTCACGTTAGAGGAAGTAAATACGGCTGGGCATAGTGCTGACCTCCTAGCATTTCATAAAAGTCACAGAAACAGAGAAGTTCTACTCCATCTGCACCCTGGACCACCGGTTCTAAAAGAGTAGCTAACATACGATACAGGCCTATACAGTAGCGTCGTCCAGGGTGGAAACTCGATCAAAGCGCCCCCCCCCCCCCCAACAACAACTAATGTACTTAAACTATTTGGTGTCACCCCCATACCGAATAGTATCACCCAGTGTTTCTTCCAGTACGTAATCCCCACGCAACCTCCACGTTGTTGTCGCAAATAAGGGTCAACAACAAAAACAACAAAAAAGCAATACATAAACAACCAATCAACAGACAGTACAGACTTCTATAGAAACAAGTGCTTTAAGCAAAGATTCATGTAATCCTTCTCTGCAGTGTAGAAAGAGCATCGTGTGTTCCGAGGCGTAGCGAGGGGGGGGGGGGTTGGAAAAACAAATTGAAAGTTTGAGGGGGGGGGGGGTGCAAATCAAAAGTTCGAGGGGGGGGGAGGTGCAAATCTAAAGTTTGAGGGAGGGGGTGCAAATCAAAAGTTCGAGGGGGGGGGGGGGGGTGTGCAAATCGAAAGTTTGTCCACGGGCGCCGGGAAGTGTCACTACGCCTCTGCGTGTGTTTACTGACATTTACCCGCTGAATTATAAATGGTTGAAAAAAACAAACAATTCACACTAATCATACAAAAATCAAAATACAACATTAAAATAAGAGGAAAGAGGAACACCTAACCATGACACGCTGTTAATAACCATACTCGCGTAAAGGTTTAAAATTATAATCTGATGTCACCCGTGCCTACACTACATCTCATATGTTTGATATAAAACATATAAATAATACGTTTCTCAACAATCACTGCCGCTTACTAAATGATTGCTTCGATTTGGCGTTACCTGTTACATTTTGGGATTGTTTCGTTTACTATGATACCCTTTTTAAACAACTGGACAAAATATTGTCTCTGTGAAGTTTTACCTCATTCACCTCACGCTTCATATCTTTCTTGTCGGATCATGTAACACCAGTGGCGTAGGCAGGGGGGGGGGTTAGGGGGGGGTCATAACCCCCCCCCATAGACCCCTCGGTATATATAAAAAGTATGAGGGGGGGTGCAAATCGAAAGTTTGAGGGGGGGGGGGGGTGCAAATCGAAAGTTTGAGGGGGGGGGTGCAAATCGAAAGTTTGTCCCCGGGTAAAAATTGGAACCCCCCCCTTGAGACGATCCTGGCTACGCCACTGTGTAACACTGTTAGCAATGTCGGTTTTATCTTTGATCAGGAAATTCTTCAAACTTGAAAACAAAACGTAGTTTGAAAAAAAGGATGTAACACCCCTCTAGCCCCCCCCCCCGGTCTAAATCCCACTTTCGGCAAAAAAATCGGAGTCAACTTCTAAATCGTTCATCAGCTGCGGTCTGCCTCTCCCCCACCCCATGACACGATTCAGCTGTTGTTTATTGGTAACTCAAACAGCACAACATGTCGACCATCATCTTTTGAAACTTATCGTTCAGTGTGATGTAGACAATCCAGTTCAGGCCACTGTTTAAGTAATCCAGAGTCTCATTTATCAGATAGTAGATACTCCATATCTCACCAGTATCCATATTAGTATTCAGCAAGGATGGTAATTTTTTAATTTGGGTAAGAGAAAAAAGTCCGCACACAGCCACCAATGTTTTAGTAGTTTTGAGAGATGATTTAGTCAGCTTAATTGACGTTGTCATGGTGAAACGACGTCTTCTCACGATGATTAATTTGAGACCAATGGCCGTTGTACCAGCTATGACTATAATCATAGCAGTAAAGCTGAATGTATACAATGCAAGAATGATCTCAATTATATCATCCGTCAAGTTTGGTATTCGTTTGATGCTTAGAATGCAGATGTTTCTACCTGCCACATATTCCGATAACACTACCAGGTTCCTCACGGCATTAACAGAATAGACGGCTAGTGCTAGTATAGTGCCTGCTAAAATTATCCAAACACGCTTTCTGGTAACAATTTGGCGAAACTTTAAGGGAAAGAAAATAGCGATAAATCGTTCTACCGTTATGTAAACACAAATCATACTACTCGTCTGTGTTGCAAATGCATAAATACCGTCAAGTATTATGCTAAAATACAAAGCGCTTTCCCCAATTAATTTATATCTATAATCAACTTCTAGTTCTCTTTTCTCTAAAATGAATTTCATTTGAAACTGTTCTACGATTCTTGCAATATCCAGCGTTACAATCAAAAGGAGGATATCAACAATAGACAAAGTGAAAAGAAGGATGTTTGATGATTTGTGCAACCCTCTCCGTTTGAGCACTACACAGCTTAAAATGTTGCCGAAGATTCCACAAACTCCAATAATTGGGTTGATGATGACTCTTAGGTACCATTCCATGGCGGTGAAAATACTCAGGAGTTCCGAAGATGGTACAGATAACATAGATCTAGATGTAGTTGTAACATTCCACAAAGATAAATCATTTGGCGAAGTGAAAGTAGAGTCGGCAATTCTCGAACTGTCTGACATGCTTCTCGTTAGAAATAAACAGTTTTTTTTTGACAAATATTTGGGTAAGTAATCTATGAGACGTTGTTATGTTTACTTTTCAAAATTATAGACTACAAGATATCAGATTTTAAAACGATAAATAAAAACTAGTTTAAATCTCAACTAAATAAAGAGCAACACGCCGAATTAAGAAGAACCGCTCTAAAAACACACTTTCTGATTTACTAAAAGTATCTGATAATTTTGGAACTTAAAAAAAAAAAGAGGTCTCATATAGAACTCAGCTACTCTTTAACGATGGTTGTATTAAAATATTGGAACGTTTTATGATACCCCAATCCACTTGAGCGGTTTTTAATATTGATAAAAGTTATTGAAGATAGAGACGACAAAGATATGTTTATGTAAGTGTCTACGCTGCCTCCTCGAATATGTAGCACCAATTCAAATAGGTAACAATTATTAAAATAGATATACTAGTTAATTTTTTTTGTCTTGGATGAAATCCTGAACAGGTATCCTCTACTTTGAAGAGAGTATATCAATAAAATATATAGATCTATGTTGCGGTTTCCATGAGCAATTACTTGACTTCTAATTGCTTTAAGTATCAAAGTCTGAAGCGGTGATTACAATGTTTGAAGCTGATTATCCCACTGTCAAGATACCAATGTCAAACTGAAAATTCAACTGGTAAGCTTAGGACCTCACTGTCACTATCGTCTCTAGTTCAATCCTAGATCGTCGACTGAGGAAAAACAACGAAGGTGTTATAATTATATTTTAGCGAAAAACTTTTAAAATGGTAATAGTATGGAAATGTAAACTTAATTCCGACTTCGCCATACGATCCAGAAGTTTAAGTGAGCTTAATCTGGGCCCAGAAAATAAATTCTGTTTGTCGTGAGATGCTGAACTCGTCTTAATTAAAAACCGTTTGGTCAGTTATATATGGTCATCAAACTTTCAACCGGACTAAAGATCAAGTAGAAGACCAAGTTTGGAAGTCTATCAGATAGAAGACCTAACTAGAACATCTACAGTGTAGAAGACCAAGTTTGGAAGGCTATCAGATAGAAGACCTAACTAGAACATCTACAGAGTAGAAAACCTAGTGTGGAGTACTATAAGTAGGAAGACTTTGGTTATTGACACCAAGATGTATTTCTAGTATACAGGCTAGAACATCAACCTAGACGCTCTAAGTTACCTCAGATCTGTAAGCTTATCAGTCTAGTATCTCTAAGTATCTCAGTTCTGTAGGCTTATTAGTCTAGTATCTCTAAGTTACCTCAGTTCTGTAGGCTTATCAGCCTAGCATCTCTAAGTATCTCAGTTTCGTATGGTTATTATTCTTGTATCTCAAAGTACCTTTCTTGTGTAGGCTTATCAGTTTAGTGTCTCTAAGTTACCTCAGTTCTGTAGGCTCATCAGTT